AAAAAACCAAAAAAATGTCAAGGAGCACACCAAAAAGAAAGTGCGATAATCTGCTAAATTCCCCTGGAGTTCTGTATTCACTCTCAACTAAAGTAGGACAAGAAGAGGCATTTAAACTAGTCATCTGCTTTTTAAAAGCTTCATATTTCTCCCTGAGATGTGGCAGGAGAGAGGGGGCAGGTAGGTATGTGTGAGGTGTGGGGAAGAGTATATACTGAAAAGAAGCAGGGGTCCTTCTGTCCTGATGGGCAGGAGTCAGCAGTGCATGATGCCAGCCACAAATGCTGACAGTATTAGCCACAGCAATGCAACAAACAGGGAGCAATCCATGTAATCATTTCCCTTTACTTGGCACTCATTACACTGCACCCAGGTTTGGGCCCTGCAACACAAGAAACACTCTGACAAATGAGAGCAAGTCCCATTCAAAGCCTACTGAAATAGGCCAGGGGCTGAGGCACTTCCCTGTGAGAAGTGGCTGAGTAAGCCCAGCCTGCTTGAACCTAAGGAAGTAGGGGCTTCGAGGGAGGAGCTAACAGCACACCCCTAGCTCACCAGGAAAACAACCCAGCAGGGAGCAGCTTGCACAGAGAGGTTGAGCAGTCTCCATCCTTGGAGGTTTTGAAGATGCACTGGGAAAAGACCTGAGCAACTCAATCTGAATTCCACACAGTCACTGCCTTTAGGGGAAGGTTACACCTGTGGACCTCCCAAGGTCCTTTTCAATCTAAATGAATCTGATTTGTGTTTGCTGTCTCCATTATTGTGATGCCACTGACAAGCAATAATAGGTGTCAGTTTTGTAGGAACATGGTCATGCTCTGTTCCTTTCTGCTGACCTCTACTACCATTTCTATTCTAAGCAGTCTCTGAACTCCCAAGTGAAAGTGATTCTATTTATATTCATCTCATAAAACGTTTAAAACATCAGAAAAAAAAAAACCAACCTGCCTACAATATGAAACACAGATCTGAGATGTAAAAGGAATACCAATGTTCTTTTTCTGAGCAGCAGGTGGGCACAAGTCTTATTTCCATTAAGATGTTAAAGCCACAAGCTTAAATATGGGTTTTTTTTATCACTTTGATGTTTTCATGAAGATATGTACAGGTAAAACCCATATTCAGATTTGGTTTGTGAAAGCAAGGAAGCCGAGTGAAGGAAAATGAAACTTTTGATCACTCTGAAATTTAGTAACTGTTTGGTAAAGTCTTTAATAGGATCTGTAATAGGAAACTATTAATTTCACAGATTTTTTTTGGGAAACAACATTTACACTTCCCAAATAAGTGGGAAGACAAAAAAATTTACCCTAGAAAGTAATTATTAGGCTTCACACAACAGAGTACACAGACACCTCCTCCCTATCATGAAGATCGTGAAGCTCCACCATCTGTTTTCTTGTGTTTGCCATCCCCAAATCAGAAGACAAATTCTGTTCACTTTGCAGCAAAAGTTTCTGAAATCAGCTTTTGACAAACAAGGAATTTTAATAGAAAATGAGTATCTGTGAGAAAAAGCTTCAATAAATGAGCATATCCTATTGATTTGTATTGTGGCATAGACAGATCTTGGAAACAATCTTGAAATCCATGTCACCTCAGTATTGATAACTTCTCACAAAAATCAGAGGAAAATTGAAGCTTCTGACAGTAACAAACAGTATGACTGAATGGATCCCAGACTTACTAAAATACTGAGTGGAATAAAATGGTGGTCATCTATTTTACAAAACTGTCAAGATTAACTGTTGACCCTGAAAAGATAGGGGAAAGAGAAGACCACGGAGGCTTGTGGTAACATGACACCTAGTGTTCACTTTCAGGAAGTTTCAGTGTTGGTGGGTGCCAAATGCTGAAGAAACATCAATGCTCCAGGACCTCTTGCCAAAAAAAAGGTAGATATTTATACTAGCATCTCTAAGCAAGTGCCTAAATACATAGACACAGTGAAAACTGAGAGGAGGAAAGGAAAATCTGCCTGTGCTGCACTTGCCCTTCCTACTGAGTACAACATTTGGGTAACTGCAGAGAAGAGTGCTATCCAAAGAAGTTTTATGTTGCTGGCTTTTTTTCCTTGGGTTTCTGCTGCAAAAAGAAACAGTCTACCTATTGATCTTTTTCTGGTTGTATATGGATGCTAATAGAAAACTGGATCTACTACATATAATATGCCCAAGTTTAAGAGAATAGTCCCCATTTAAAAAAAAATAAAAAAAAAAAAAAACAAAAAAGGTCTATTTCTACACAGCAATGAACTGTACATTTATTTCTTCTTTCAAAATAGTGGTGTATCAACAGTACAAGTGCCTCTTAAATTATCATTCTCTTCCAAGTTTCTAGCAACACAATGAAAACCACAGTAACTAATGCATACTAGATCAATGGGACCATAAAATCCATGTAAGAACATGGCACAAGCGCTCTAACATAGTAACAATTACTAAGAGATATGACCCCTTGAGTATTTCCAAGGGCAAAGGGTGGAAAGGATTATATGAGAAATTAGAAAAAAAAGTTCACTACAGATACAGGAAACACATACTGAGTTTTGAAATCAGATGAATAAGAATCCATGTCTGATGCTGAATAAAACAGGTGTTTCATTACACTGAGATTGGCAAAACATTAAAGACAAGGTCTGACTGAAACTTCAGCTCTACAAAACTGAACATAAATAACTGTACTTCAAGAAGTTTATAGATATATTGATATAGATACATATAGATACATGCATGCAAAACAAATTAGTATTGTATTCCAAATTTAGAATTGTCTTTAATTTAAAAGTATGCTGAGTTATTTTCCAGGGGGTAGTATTTAACTGCTATCCTTCTGAAAAGGGAAAAAAACCCACAGACAACCCATCTATCATTTAGTATTAATATTGTCTAGCTACCAGAATCCCAAACAATTAATTTGACTCAGCAAGCAATATTTAGTAAACTCTAACTACTGTTATTATATCTTATTTCTGAGAAAAATGTGCACACAGTCAATACACAGGCATTAAAATAAACATTTTTCTTTTAACAAGGTAAACAGGTCTAGATTCCAATACTACTAAATAACTTAAGAAGATGCAAGTCAAGCACTTGTCACAATGTGAATTATAAATCAAGTTCTTATTTTTCAGTACATTTTGAGCATAATTTTCTTCAGAAGTTTAGTATGTGGCATATCTGAGGAGCCAAGCAATTATGAACTCACCTAAATAAATATCTGCCATAAGATGTCCCTATTGAACTTGAGTGTAAATGGCTTTTTTACAATTTATTAATTCCTTCTTTCAATCCCATACCTATATCAGAAATAGCCAGGAAAGTGAGGTTAAATTTGACTGTTTTTTTGGTTGACAGCTTGCCAAAGCCTTAGATTCATAGCACTGTTTCTCATTTAGGGTCAAGGTAAATTGTGTAGTCAAAAGCCTTTGGTTCCTATTGCTCTTGTCCAAGAGGTCAGCTCACCATTCATGAAGTGCCTAGTTTGGTCCCAGGCAGAAATCCCATGAGTAACAGCAGAAATGGCACGTCCTATTGGTCTTAAACATACACATTTGACACAACTACAAGAATACCAGTCATAAATTTCACCTAATGATAGTGATTATCCCTCACCTTTAACACTGAAATATCCTGAACTGCCATACAACCTACTCAGCTGTTAACATTTTAGATAATTGCTGCACAGATTATTTTTGCAGTTCCTGAACAGGTCTTACAAATTAAGAACTGTGAAACAACTTTAAAAGACAGAGGATTCCACAGTAGGCTTAATTCCATTATTTCTTTTTCAATTATAGAAATTCTAAAAGCTTAAAGGTTAAAATTAGGCATCTCCTCACACACAGTCAAAAAACAGACACAAATACAGGCTGCGAAAGCTTCTCAGACAAGACAGCAGTTTGTTTCTGCAGATTTATGTGCAACTGTCATACATGCTTATGATGACAGGTATCCTCTACCCTTTTCTTCTATACTTGAATTTCCAAATATTACTTTCATTTTTATGATTACAAAAGCATGAAGTAGTGACAAATTCACTATCAGGGAGAACGTGTTTCTAAGTCAGCTTTCATGCAGCTGAGGCACCTTCTAAACAACATTCTGGATAAAACATCAGGAAGATAAACACAGTTTTTCTTTTAAAAATTGCAAGGTTGTGGTCACCGAAACAGCTCAAAGGATAGGGGCAGAAAAAAAAAAAAGTTTATTTTAGCACCGGTACATATTTTATATAAATACAATGAGTAATTTTGTAGCTGGTGATCGAAAACGATTGCAATGAAGCTTCAACAAAACAACTTTACATGCCAAGAAGAGCGGCGTGTTAAACCACAGAGTCTGTAACGATTTTAAAAGGTCCGCAGGGCAGACCTACTACGTTTTATATAAACCAGGACAGCGGAGAACCGCCGTCAGAGGGCATCATTCATGAATGATTTGCCAAATACGCTGCCGTGAAGTAGCAAGTTATTTTCTAAGTCCCTCACGGGCTTCTCCTAAAAGTGCATGAGGTGCTCAATACATCCAAGTAGCTGACCTGTGAGGGTTTTTGTTTGTTTGTTTGTTTGTTTGTTTTTTAATTTATTTTAATTTATCGCAGGCTTGCGGCTGGGTTTCAAACTGAGTGATTCAGCGCGGTTCCCGGGAAACTCGACCCTCACGCTGCAGCCTGTCACGGCGCGCTGAACATCGCGACCAGCATCAACCGGGACCGGTCCCGCCCGGCTGCGCTCGGGCCTGCTGCCGCCCGGCTGCGGGAGGGAGGCGGGATGGGCCGTCCCGCCCGGGGAGCCGCGGCAGCCGCCGCCTCGTCCCTGCGAGAGCCCCGCCGGCAGCCCAGCCCGACCCGAGCCCGAGCCCGCACCGCCCCGCTGCCGTCCCTCCCGCAGGCGCCTCCCTCCCGCCCTCCGGGCAGCGCCGCCGGCGGGACCCTGCCCACCCCCGCCCCGCCGCGGGAGCTGGCACCGGGACGGGCTGAGGGGGAGCGGTACTTGCCCAGGTGGGGACGAGGAGGCTGCCGGGCCGCTCGAGCGGTGCTGGAGGAGGCTGCTTCCCCGCCACGCTCATCTCCTCCCATGCAGCTGGCGTAGTCCTCTCAGTCGGGCGGCTCGGCGGGACGCGGCGCCTCCGGCACCGACTCCCAAGCGCCCGCCCCTCCCGGCAGCGCCGGCGTCCCGGCTCGGCGGGGCAGGCTGGCTCGGCGGGGCAGGCTGGCTCCGCGCTGCCCTCCGCGGCCGGGCGGGGCGGGGTGGCACGGGGGCGTTCGCCGAGGACTTGGAGCCGGGAGGGAAGAGGAAGGCGGCGGCGCGGCGCTGGCTATTTAACTTGGCTCTTGGCCGGGGGAAGGTGCCGCCGCTCCCCTCCCCTCCGTGGCCGCATCCCGACAGCCGAGCTCTGGGTGCTCCTGCGAGCGCTGCCGCGCTCCTCCCCGACACCGCACGGCTCCGCTCAGCCCGCCCGCGCCGCCCCGCGGGGCAAAGGCGGGCGGGGGCTCCGGCCTCCCGCTCCCCTCGGTGGGGCAGGGGCGCTGCTGCTGGGGAAGGTGGCCGACGTGGGGTGAGGGTGCTGCTGCTGCTGCTCCGAGCGCAGCCCCTCTCGCCTTGTCCGCGCCCGTAGCGAGCAGTTGCGCCTCGTGTTGGGTCACAAGCGACAACCGCACATAATCCTCGCTCTCTGATCTCTGAATCAAAACCAATAATTTGACATCCCTCGTGTATTCTTGGTACCCTTGTCATTCCATAACTCCTGGCCAGGAAAAGCCCCCATTCCTAAAAATTGTCATGAGATTTTTCTTTTCCATGCATCTTTGGCTTTCATCCAATTTCTGACCATCAGTTTTGGGGGAGCTTCTTGCAGTCCAGTGATAGCAATGTTGAAGCTGATCTTAAGGCAAAGAATTTCATCCTGGTCCTTAACATACTACTTTATTAGGAGACTACTTTATTATTTCAACTCTTAAGGAGAGAGAAGAGAAAGCTTTTAATTTTTCCTATCAGTTGATTTAAAAATATGTGCTTCATGCACATAGCTTTCTGTTTCCTTACCTAAGTGTAATTTGAAAAGGCATGTCTGTTCACTTTTGACACCTCTACCTTTGTCATGCACAAATAGATAATCAAAGTATGACTGGATTATTGCCTAGACTTATTATAAAGTTATTTTTAGAGTTGGGGTTTTTTCCCCCTGCTAAAGCACATGAGTAAATCAGAAAAGAAACATGTGTCATCTTTCTCTTGGAGGTAAATCCATACAAAATACTGTTGCTCACTGCTATACTTTACCCTAGAATGAATTCTTCTCTTCCCAGGTTTTCCTGGTCAAAAAATACCTGACATCATCCCTGTTTACCATTGGATCTTTGTACATACCAGAGCCCTGGAGAAGATGGGGAGGGGTGGACAAGAGGACAGTTAGCTATGGGATTTCATTTGTTCTCCAGTGCTGCACAGGGCCCTCCACCTGTGCCGGAGTTGTTGTATTTACCACGCACAGAGGCGTGAGGTTCGACATGCAGCAAGGAGTCAATGTCGTTCTGCTAAAGAGCTGGAGTTCGTACTCAAGCCAATCTGCCCCAATCCATCCTGTGCATGAAAAGGCATTTATCTCACTCCGTGCCTGTAGAAAAGTGACAACACACCAGAGTGTGAAATGTTGGAAGAGATGAGAGTGGGCCACTGCCTCGCATGACCATCCATACTTAGGCGCATGTAGACACTGTGAGAGGTATGAGCCTGCTTTAGACAGCCAAAGAAAGCAAAGCAACGCAGATGAGCTGCACTCGCTTTGGAGGTGGGCTGCTCCAGGCTCCATGGGAGCTGCCAGGAGCCAGCAAATAACAGCAGCAATGCTGGTGGGTATTTGTTAGTATGGATAATAGTTTTCCTGTGACTACAAACTTGTTGCCTCATCCAGCATTGCTTCTCATGGTTCTTCTTCTGCCATAAATGTGGCATATAAGTGGGGATTAAAAAGTGGAGATACAAGTTAGTGTAAATATAAAATAAATGACATAAATATAAAATAAATATGATAATGTACAGGGAATATATATGGGAAATTACTGGCAGAGATAAGTAAAATAGAAAGAATTTACTTTTTAGAATGTTTCTCTTTACCTACAAGCTGTGCTTTTTAAACTTAAAAATCTTTGTCGGTTGATATAATTAAGCCTTGTACACAATATCTGACTTCCTGAGTGGTGTATCTTAACACTGACAATTGCATAAATGATTTCTGGAATTCATCAGAAAATGAATAGACTCAGCCAAGGAACTATTAATGTTAATTGCTTTTTGGAATTAACAAATGCCCTTCAGTGAATCATATTTTCCTATGGCATTGCTATACTGAACATAAGTGGGTACATATAATTTGGGGAAGGATTAGGAAAAAATAAATACTTTTACTTAAGTTGAGCTAAGCAAATTTGTGATAGCCTCATCTAATGCTTTATTTCAAGGGGTGATCAGGTTTAATAGCTTAAGAAACCCATGAACTTCTTTAGGAGTTGATGTCTTGTCCAGTTTGTTTCTAGTTGAAACCATATATGCATTTTTCCCTTTCTTCTTTTTGTACTTTTTCAGTTTTACTGCATCTCTGATCCTTCAAAATCTTTTGCTTTTGCCATTTCTGAAATAAAGTAAATGGAAGCTAGCTGTCCCATAGCTATTTTAGTGATGAGAGTGTTTGGTTTTTCTGGATTACATTAAATCCTATAATTTGAAATAAAGCAATTATTTTAAAATTTCATAAAAATCTACAAAATATCAAGAAAGTAATCATGCAAAGAGACAGACAGCAGTTCAAGACAATGCAGAATGTTTTCAATAAGATGACTTTAAGCCAAACTCATTATTTTGGGGTGTTACATTAGATAATTGCCAAGAAGTTTCATTCAGATCTGACTTGGCTCATAACAGAAAAACTGAAAATTGTGCAAAAGATTTGAATAAAATCAGCATGCATGAAAACAGATGCAAATTGCTGAATCTGGAAGGTATTGTATTACAGACCTGTCTTTATTTCTTTCTGTTTTCATAGAGATGCTTTGCATTTGTACATACGAGCACACACACACACACACACAGATGATACATAGCTTAGAAAATAAAAACAGAAGACCATTAGCACTAAAACAATAAATAATTTATTTTACTAAGATGTCAAGGATAAAGACTTTTTCCAGAGAACTGAATGAAAGAGTATAATTTGGTTTTCCAGAAAATGTAGGTATGCAGACATTAAAACATAGGTCTGTCAATACAAGAACCTTCACAAAGCTATTGAAGTCCATTTGTCTTAATACAAACTCCAAAATTTGCAGATGCTATCTTAGTTTTTAGATGTTAATATTTTCTGCATTAATCAGGAAAGAAGCCTTTTGTAAAACTTAATTCTTTGTGAACTTCATTATACCTAATATTTTACCACCAAAATAAACGCTATGTCATTTAATTTTGTGTTGTGGGAAGAGATCAAAGATATGGGGAAGCAAAGAATACTTTTTAAAGTATATTGGGTTTGCATGGCCAAGCTTTGGTAGTGGGGGGGCTGCAAGGGTGGCTTCTGTGAGCATCTGCCAGAAGCTTCCTCTGCATCCAGCAGAGCCAATGCCAGACAGCTCCAGGATGGATGTCCCCCTGGCCAAGGCTGGGCCAATTAGAAATGGTGGTAACACCTATGAGATAACAGAGTTAAGAAAAAGAAAAGTGATTGTGCAGGTGTAATTTTGGCCAGAGCAGAGCAGGATGAGAACATGAGAGGAACTCTCAGAGGCTCTGCAGACAGCAGGGTCAGTGCAGAAGGAGAGGCAGGAGGTGCTCCAGGCACCAGAGCTGAGATTCCCCTGCAGCCCCTGGTGCAGCCCATGGTGAGGCAGCTGTGCCCCTGCAGCCCGTGGGGATCCACAGGGATGCAGAGATCCACCCACAGCCCATGGAGGAGACCCACACTGGAGCAGGGGGTGCCTGAGAGGAGCCTGTGACCCTGTGGGAGGCCTGTGCTGGAGCAGGGTCCTGGCAGGGACCTGCAGGGCTGTGGAGAGAGGAGAAACAATGAGTAATAAACTGACCATAAACCCCATTCCCATACCCCTGCACTGCTGTGGGGAGGACATAGAGGTAGGAAGAAGGGAGGGATCGGGGGAAGGTGTTTTTAAGGTCTTATTTTACTTCACGTCATCCTACTCTGATTTTGCTAGCAATAAATTTAATATGTCTAATAGGCATCTGTTTTGCCTGTGACAGTATTTGATGAGTGATCTCTCCCTGTCCTTATCTCAAACTATAACTCTTTGTTATATTATCTCTCCCCTGTCCAGCTGCAAAAGAGAGATCAGCTTTTGGTGGGTGTCTGGAATTCAGCCAGAGTCAACCAACTAGAAAAATAAGTTTTTTACTGGGAAATTGTAGGTAAGGCATTATAAAAATGCCAGATGTCTCAAGGAAACTGATACCTATCCTGATGAGGATGCTGCTATTTAGCCACCTGTATTTTCCAATTTAGGAGGAGTAAGGAAGGCACTAATATGCTGACTATCAGCCTTAGATACCTGTCTCAATCTGCTCTCCATTTGCCACTTTTACTGTGTCATCAGGAAAATTACAGGAAATAACAACTGGACAGCCTATCAGAGGACAGTAACATTTGAGTCTTCTTAAAATACACACTGGTAAATCACTAAAATTTCACAGATATTTGTTTTCTTCAAAAGACCATCATTCCCTTTCTCTTCAAAATTATAATGTGCATCAAATACCCTGTAAGTTGCTCCAGAAATTTCTTCAGTTCATTCAGTAGGGTACAAAACTGTAACTGCAAATATGACAGTAGCAAACTGGAAAAAGACAGTAACATTTTCTAACATTAAAGTAAGAGACTGCTGTATTTCAAAGAAACAAACAAAAACTTTCCTTGAACAACTGTTCATTGAGAAAGGGTGACTGAAATATGCGTCTCATGTTTTGGGGCAGGCAGCTTGAGCAACATGTGGGAGACACTGTTAAAATGTTCGCTGAACTGTCTTTCCCCACCCTTTATTAAGGCACAGGTACATGTTACCAGGGCAC